CCCAGCCTGGGCGACCACCTTTTCGGGGACACAGCCTCGAGGTCCGTGGAGGCGGACCCGGTGGCCGGGATCATAGGGGCGAAGGGCGCCGCAGTTCCCCTGCGGTGCCATCGGGCGGGAGCCACAGAAGTGGTCCGCCCGCGTCGACACCGCGACCTCCGCCGAGCTCGGCTGCAACACCTCCGGCATGCCATGGGGCGTGATATTCTCTGGCAGGCAGAGGGCCAGACCTTGCACCTCGAGGAGCACGAGCCCTTGGGATATGCTGACCTCTTTGCGTGCGCTCCGCCGGTCCCAGCAGTTCGACCTCGGCGCCCAGATCGGCCAAATTCCGAAGGCCACGCATCAGTCGGTGAATGCGGGCGGCTCCCGGGTGGCTGGCCTGGCTGATCACGGGCCTCCCAGATCCACGGTCCCGATCAGGTCAGGCGGCAAGGGGGCTTGGCGCGCCCCGCAGAGTTCGCTGCCCCAGTCGCCTACTTGCGCGAAACAGAAGCTTTTGAGAACGCCTCAAGAGATGGGGCGGAGACGCTGCCAAGGACCGCGGCAGCAAGGCCCGTGTCGGGGGCAAGGAGTCCAAGAAGTGGACCAACAAGAAGGAGCGCGACGGCGGTGGCGGTGGCGGGGGAGGCGAGTGATCGTTTCCAGATGGGTCCGGCAGCTTAGAGCAACGCCGAGGGGGGCCAGCTCAGGAGTCGGGCCTTCGTCGTCCTCATCTACGACTCCGACTTCGCGGGCCACCGTTGATTCGGTGATCTGCGCTCTGTTCTGCAACTGGCCTGCCGACCTCGCTCTGTGCCTTCCTCGAGGCAGGGGTCTCCAAATGCACCCCGACGGGGCAGAATTCGTGCCCCTCAGCTTCGTTCAGAGCTGCTCATTCCTTGTGGGCTGCTCTACGATAGGCTTGAGAGTGAAGCTGCGGCACGGTCGCCACAAAGATGTGCGCGGTGGCTGGGGGGGGGGGGGGGGGTGCACGCTGGGGCGGGGGCGGGGGGGGGGGCGTCTCGTGTCCGTCGCTTTGTCTCCTGGTTCTCGTTTTCGTCGCCCCTGCGGGCGGCGACATTATCGTGCTTCCCGCCGCCCTTAAACGAGAAACCATGGCAGCTGGTGCGCCATCTTGACGTTAAGTTTCTGGCTGTTGCCGCGCTCGGGAGTCTTTTTTTTTTTTTTTTTTTTTTTTTTTGGTGGGGGGGGGGGGGGAGTATATTATATATATATATATATATGTATATAATATGAGAGAGAGGAGAGTAGAGAGAGAGAGAGAGAGAGAAGAGAGAGGAGAGAGAGAAGAGAGAGAGAGAAATGAGAGAGAGAGAGAGAGAAGAGAGAGGAGAGAAGAGAGAGAGAGAGAAAGAGAGAGGAGAGAGAGAGAACATGAGAGAGAGAGAGAAGAGAGAGAGAGAGAGAGAGAGTGAGAGAGAGAAAGAGAGAATGAAGAGAGAGAGAGAGAGAGAGAGAGAGAAGAGAGAGAGCGAGAGAAGAGAGAGAGAGAGAGAGAGAGAGAGAGAAGAGAAATAGAGAGAGAGAGAGAGAGAGAGAGAGAGAGAGAGAGAGAGAGAGAAAAAGAGAAAGAGGGAGAGAGAGAAAGAGATAAAGAGAGAGACTGGTGGTAGCCTTGGCATCTTTAGGGCCGTGACAGGGCCCATGGGCGATTCGTGTTTGGGAGTCAGCGCGCGCTCTGTGGAACCTGTCATCCTCGCCGCAGCCAGCCGCGGCATCCCGCCCAGGGGGTCGTCGAGCATGCTCCAAGAGCTGGTCGCGGCGCCCGAACGCGACCTCATCTTCCGCGCGCCGCGCGCCTTTGATCTCGAGCCGAACCGCTTTCCCAGCCAGCTGGCCCCGTGTCATTGAGCGTGGGCCACTGGGCCGCGGTGGCGGCTCGTGTCTGGGTTGCGCGGCTGCTGCGACGTGCCCGACCGGAGAGCCTCCAATTGCGCGCGGGCCCCCCTGTCCGCGCGGGGCTATTCGGCGTGGAGAAGGGCGACCGCGGGCTGAGGGTGGTCATGGACAGACGGGGGGTGCCTCGTGTATGGTCGGGCTCCTCCCGCCGATCGAGCCGTGGATGGCGTCTACTTTGATGGCCGCGTAGTCATCGGGCTTTGTGGCGGCCCTGGCGCTTCCGATCCGATCCAACGGCCAGCCCTCCAGCGAGTCCGTCGAGGGCGCCGGGCGTGCGATCGGGTTGGCGTCGAGAGAAAGGGGGAGAAGGCAACGGGCAGTCGTCTGGGGGGGCGAGATCTCTTCGACTATTCGGCGGATGTGGAGAGGTCGTGAAATTCAAGCAGCTTGGCGTGACCACCGCGTGCGTCGTCCTGGTCGGTGCCGCATTGTTCGCTCTCATGGGAAGGCTTGTCGGGGGCTGGGTTCACAGCCTGGTGTTTCGCGGTGCTGCCGTGTGCCTCGTGGACAAGCTTTTCGCGTGGCTTCACGTGCCTGGGGTAGACCCCACAGTGTGGCGGCTGCCGAACGCGATGCTGATCGAGCTGATTGGACTGGTCTTCTTGCTCCCGCTGCTCAGAAGCTCTCTGGGCTCGACGGTGGCTGAGCTAGTCCTCGCCTCGGACGCCGCCTTCTTCGTCGTCGGAGTCGTTGCGGCGCCTCTCAACGTGGAGGAGGCGGTCTGGAGTTTGCCTTTTGAGTTCCTGGGTGGAGCTGTGCGTGCCGAGCCAATGCTACATTCCTGGGTCGGGTTTTTGCAGTGTACCGCCTTGCTCAGCATTCTGTTTTCGGAATGGCCCCATAGTAACGTTCTGGGGCCGTTGCCCTCAGATCGCTGGTGAAGCGGGCGGTCGGGGGCCCGAGCGTTCGCGGTAGCCGCGTTCCAGTGCCCGTGAGTTCGCGCGTAGTACGTCGCGTTGCTGTCCGAGGGCGATCGTCCGACGGGGTCCTCGCCAGGATCTTCGCCATGACACTCCCGTTTTTCGTTCGCAGGGTGCTCCCCCATTTTCCCCGGGGCGCGCGGGGCCCGCAATCTTGCATATGATCCGACAAGATGTGCTTGGATGCGTGAGGCCAGACCGCGCCCTCCCGAGGTGGCGGATTCCATTGCCGCCGCCGAGAATCTCCTGGGCTGGGCTGTGCACGTGCGTCGCTTAGTCTTTGGGCGCCGATCGCCAGTTATCTACGGCGCCTTCCAGCGGGCCGGAGGCCTCGCTGAGCGCAGCCCCGGAGCGTCGCGGGAGGATCGTCATCAGCGCGACGTTCAGCGCGGGGCTCTAGAGGGCCTCGCCGACTCCGATCCGACGTGCTTCGCCAGAAGACGGGGTTCATCGTGGCGACCATGCTGCTGGCGGCCGCTCAGGGGCCGCCCCGCGGGACCTTCTTGCGATTCATGAACTTGTGCTCGCGGTCTTCCCGGGCGAGCCATCGGCCGTGGGGGCCGCGGGGGCGCCCCGAGGAGACCGTTGGCAACGCGTGTGTGGAGGCCGGGCTGGGTCTCGTGAAGGTCCTCGACTGGGTCGGCGCCGTGTGGGCGTGGGGGCAGCCTCGGCAATCTGCGCGGTACAATGGCGATGTATTCTTGGGTGTCCGAGACCCGTGTTGGCGCCCAGTTCCGCTGGTCCCAGGCCCTCGGCCAACTGCGCCCGGCTTTGGCCGTGGTGGCTCGCTGGCGCAATTTCGAGCCTGTCGCGACGCGGGCGCGCGTGCCCGTGGAAGCGCTCCTGGCCCCGGCCGTGGCTGCTCAGGCGCAAGGGTGGGGCAGGGCGGCAGCGTGCCTGCTCCTCGACTTCCAATTTCTGCTGTCGCGAATGCTTCCCGGCAGCATCTCGTCTTGCTTGGGGACTTTGGGAGGCGATATCAACGCAGTCGCGCTCGTGCCGCCCCCTACAAAAACATCAGACTGCGGGCCGGAGTTCCAGAGCGCCCTCATCGACGATCCTGCGTTGCTGAACTTGATGGGGCGCGTCTGTAGCCCCTCCCGCGACGTCAGCGTTGTATCCGGGCCACCTGCGTGGGCTGACCCAGAGGTTCATCTACCTCGGGCCTCGTTGGCATCAGCGATTCGCCGTGCACCCTTGGGTCGCTATGAGGAGGCGGGGCCATCCATCACGTCCTTTCGTTTCGCAACCTGGGACTGCTGCAATGCCGTGGGCGCTCGGGATATGCTGTGTGAATGCGTCGCTGTCTCCAGATGGGCGCGGCCGCCTGTTTTTCCCACGTGGCGTCCGACAGCCGACAGCGTGCCAGCAGCGTGCCCAACTCGCTCCAGATGTATGGGGCGGTGGGTGATTGTGTCATCAACGCACCCAGGGGGCAAGACGCATATCAAGCATGTGGCAATGACGGTGGGGTTACAACAGGTTGAGAGCTCTCTGTGCTTGGGGCTCTGTGAGGCCGCGCGGCAGAGACAAATCCGTTGCGCCCCGACGCCCCGTGCCGCCCTCTGGCCAGCTTTTCCTAGCAAGCTTCAAGCACGGGGTGCCTTTCAGAACGAACGTCGGTGACCATGTGAGCACAGTTAGTTGTTTTGAGGTTAGATGGAAATGATATGCATCTTTTTCGCCGTTTCTCCCCCCTACCCTTGCGAACAGCTCTTGGGCAGGTTGAGGGCTCTCCGTCTTGGGGGCTCTGTGAGGCCGCGCGGCAGAGACAGTGCCGCTGCGCCCCGACGCCCCTGGCCACCCTGTGGCTAGCTTTTTCTCGCAAGCTCCATACATGTGGTGCTCGGGGAATCGAGTGTCGGGTACGATGATAATGAGGACGATGCTGGTAAATATTGTGATGATGATGATGATGATGATGATGATGATGATGATGATGATGATGATGATGATGATGATGATGCTGATGATGATGATGATGATGATGATGATGATGATGATGATGATGCTGATGATGATGATGATGACGGGTGTTTGTAATGATAGTGGCGTTGGTGTTGCTTGTGATTTGATGACGATGATGATGAGGACCCTGCTGATGATAATGTTTTTGTTGGGGACGGCGACGATGCTGCTGTTGTTGTTCCTGATGGTGTTGACAGGGTTGGCTGCTGATGATCATGACTTTGGTGCTGTTGATGGTGTTGGGTCTGTGGATGATGATGAAGAAGTGGAAGGTACAGGTGATTATGCTGGTGATGATGATGATGATGGTGATGGTGATGGTGATGGTGATAGTGATGGTGCTGTCGGTGGTGATGATGATCATTGTGATTTTGATTACGACTGCGAAAATGAGTATGATTGTGATTAGGTTGGTGACGATGGTGATGATCACGTTCAAGTGTGGTGATCATGGTCGCGGGCTCCTGGGAGGTCTCGCGGAATGGGGTGCCCACGCGAATTCTCAGCCGAGACCTCGCGACCCTGGGGGGCTGCCAACCGCGCAACCGTCACCATTTCCGTGGGCTCCTTGGAGGGCTAGCGG